TATATATATATATATATATATTGTATTTATTTTTATATCTAACATAGAATTTTTATAATTATATTATTTATTTTTTTTAAAATAACTTTAGATATTATAAGATGTTTACCCGAAAATGGGATATAAAAAACCAGTTAATTTAGACATTAGATGTTTAAATACATAAAAAGGTTTGTACTATGTATTTATATCCTCCGATTACATAGCAATAATGTAGCATTGCAAAAGAGAGAATATTTTTAGAGATTTTAGCATGCAAATTACCTCATAACATTTATGAAATTTTATTATAATAAAATTAATTTTATAAATGAGATATTTTTGTCTTTGAATTTTTACGCAAGAAGTTCAAAGTGACTAGAAGCAAATAAAAAAAAACTCTAAAATCAAATTATGGCAAATGAAAATACTCGCATTGGTTCAAATCAACATATTTTGACCATATAAGGTGACTCAAAATGGAAAAGAATGATGAGTGTTGGAATTAAAATATACCATGGATATGTCAACATAAAACACTTGCAAGTTAACAATATGCACATATTTTGATACATTTTCTTTTTTTAATTTGAAACTTTTCGAAATAGGTTTAGGATCATCTGACCTCCAACTTCAATTAATCCATAATCATATTGAATTTCATGACAATATGAGCACAACCATATCAAAAATGATCCTTTTTGAATCAAAATAAGCCAAAATTAAATATTTTAATATAGTTGAAAACTTCAAGGTATTAATTGAAGGAACAAATGATCTCTAAAACTTACATGTTACAATGTGGGGAATCTAAAATATCACTCAATTGTAATGTTGTTAATGCATCCAAATGTTGAATGAATAAGTTACTATCAAAGGAATTAAAATGAGTCATCCAATTATTTGTTTCTAGATATTGGCCAAAATAAATAGAATTTCACACCTAAATTTTATTAACAAAGCTCAATTTTTCACATAAAGGGCACGAGTTTGAAGAGAGTTGTGAGATCTAATGTATTATAGTGTTTTATATGATGTTTGACACCAAATATCGTTGCCAAACACCGATTTTATTTAACTACCATCATCTAACTATCACTATCTAACCACCACATGTAGCCTTCTTAATATATTTCTCATACAATCACTACTGCTCGACTATCATTAGTTTATCATCATCATTCGACTAATACCTCTGACAGCCAACATTATCATTTTATTACTTATATCTCTACTATAAATATAAGAGGCCAAATTTGGGTACAAAAATACATGATTCTATCATCTTCAGTTGAGAGAGAATATGAAACTCTATACCTGACATACTGGATTATTTCATCTTGGTTAGGTTCTCTATCTTTTTCTCTTCTGAAACTTTCTTTGTAAAAAAGGTAGAGCTCATAGACACATAATTTTCATACAAAACTAAGATGTAAAATTCTGACATTTTTATGTAAATTTCTAGAACCAAACAAGCGTAAATGTATTTTTTTCAAATTAAAATTGAGCATAGGTTAAGACGTATTACAAATATTTCTCATAATCAATTCGAGTTTATTTCAGGCAGGTCTACTATTGAACCTATACATTTATTGAGAGGTTTGATGGACAAGTGTGGAGAGAATAAGAAGAATTTACATATGATTTTTCTTTATTTATAAAAAGCTTACGATAAGGTTCCAAGAGATATCCTTTGGAAAGTTCTAGTGAAAAAATGTGTTGATATAACTTATGCTTGAGTCATTAAATATTTGTATACTAGAGTTGTTACATGTGTTCAAATAGAAGGAGGATTGACCAAATATTTTTCTATTTCAGTTGGATTACATCAAGGAACAGCTTTAAGCCCATATCCTTTTACTTTAGTTATGGATGATCTTATCGGACATGTACAAAAGGATGTACCTTGGTGTATGTTTTTTGTTGATGATATCCTTCCTATGGATAAGACTAGAGAAAGAGCTCAAACAAAACTTGAATTATGGAGGTCTACATTGGAGACTAAAAGCCTTTGGTTGAGTAGATCTAAAATTGAATACATGAAAAGTAATTTTAGTAGTAGTGACAGAGTTGTATCTACGGGTGATCAAATTATTAAAAGGTGTGAACACTTTAGATATCTCGGGTTTATTGTTCAAAGTGATGGTGATATAGATGGAGATGTTATTAGTAGACTTCAAGCTGGTCGGTTGAAGTGGAGGAATGCTTCGGGCCTATTGTGTGATAGAAAAGTATCACTTATACTGAAAAGAAATTTTTTTTAAGAAGGTGGTGAGACTTGTAATGCTCCATGGCACTGAATGTTAGCCTTTAAAAGAGAAGCATAAAATTAAGTTAAGTGTTTTCGAGAAGAGAATGCTTAGGTGGAGCAGTGGCCTTAGAATTAGATTCAAAATGTGAAATGAATATATCCATGATAGGGTTGGTGTTGCTCCTATGGTGGAAAAAATTAGAGTGAGCCATCTTCGATGGTTTGGTCACGTTAAACGTCGACCATCTGATGATATGATTAAGAGAGTAGATGTTTTAGGTTCGACTAATGTTAAGAAGTCAGAGATAGACCAGGAAATACTTGGACATATTGTATAAAAATTTATCTTAGTTTATTAGAATTAAATGAAAATATGACACTCAATAGGACTCAAAAGAGACAAAGGATTCATATAGCTGACCCCGCTTAGTGGGATAAAAGCTTGTTGTTGTTTGTTGTAAAATTGAAATGCAATATCACCTAAATCTACTCAAAATAAACAAGATTGACTGTTAGAAATAAATAGAATGTAAGAATATTTTTATGTTAAATTAAAGTTGAGATGCAATCACTTAAAAATCTTACAATAAGGTTCCAAGAGATATCCTTTGGAAAGTTCTAGTGAAGAAATGTGTTGATATAACTTATATTCGAGTCATTAAAGATTTGTATACTAGAGTTGTTACTTATGTTCAAACAAAAGAAGGATTGATGAAATATTTTTCGGATTGACAAAATATTTTCTTGATGAAATATTTTTCTATTTCAGTTGGATTACATCAAGGATCAACTTTATGCCCATATCCTTTTTCTTTAGTTATGGATGATCTTACTAGGCATTTACAGGAGGATGTACCTTGGTGTATGTTTTTTGTTGATGATATTCTTCCTATGGATAAGACTAGAGAAATATTTTAAACAAAACTTGAATTATGGAGGTCTACAGTGGAGTCTAAAGGCCATCGTTTGAGTAGTTCTAAAATTTAATACATGAAAAGTAATTTTAGTGATAGTGACAGTTATAACTATGGGTGATCAAATTATTAAAAGGTGTGACCAATTTAGATATCTTGGGTCTATTGTTCAAAGTGATGGTGATATAGATGGGGATGTTATTAGTAGAATTCAAGTTGGTCGGTTGAAGTGGAGTAATGCTTTGGGCCTTACTGTATGATAGAAAAAGTATCGCTTAGATTAAAAGGAATTTTTTTTAAGAAGAGGGTGAGCCTTGTAATGCTCTATGGTGATTAATGTTAGCCTTTAAAAGAGAAGCATAAAATTAAGTGTTTTCAAAATGAGAATGCTTATGGGGATGAGTGGCCTTAGAATTATAGACAAAATGCAAGATGAATATATCCATGATAGGGTTGTTGTTGTTCCTATGGCGGACAAAATTAGTGTGAGCCATCTTAGATGGTTTGATCATGTTAAATGTCAGCCATCTAATGATCTGATTAAGAGAGTAGAAGTTTTAGGTTCAACTAATATTAAGAAAGGCAAAGGTAGACCTAGAAATACTTAGACATATTGTGTAAAAAATTATCTTAAGCTATTAAAATCAAATGAAAATATGACACTCAATAGGATGCAAAAGAGATAAAGGATTCATATAGCTGACCCCACTTAATAGGAAAAAAGCTTGTTGTTATTGCTGTAAAATTGAAATGCAATATCAACTAAATCTACTCAAAAAAAGCAAGATTTTATTTTTAGAAATAAATAGAATGTATGAATATTTTTATGTTAAATTAAAGTTGAAATGCAATCACTTAATTTTACTCAAAATAAAAAAATATTTGACCCTTGGAAATAAATAAAGTGTAGAATTATTTTTATTTGTCAAAATCTACATGTGTTATTACTTAAATTCATTTGAAATCAAACAAGATATGAGTGTTTGAATTAGCCATGTCATAGAAATATTTCTTTTTTGAGTCAAAATCAACCAACAAGATGATGTAAATGAAGTTGAACCAAGCAAAATATACATGTTAGCAGTAGACTATGTATTATAAATGCTTACATTAGAAGAGAAATGTTATCTACTTAAATGGCTTAGCATCTCAAATAATTGGAATAATTTTGAGCATTCAAATCAAAATGCAAGGCCATGTAAATCTATCAAACAAGAAAAATGTGA